GCCGAACCTACGCGAGGTCTCCAACATGCATAACGCATTGTGAATGCCGTGAACGAGCGGCTGCCCGCCTTCATTTCCCAGCGCGTAGTCGACGTTCGAAGGCGCGGCGTCGGCCGAGAATCGCGCGTCGCTGCAGGGGGCGCGACTGCGCCCATCGCGCCCGACGCCGTCGGCCAGCCCGTCTTGTCGAGTGCTCCGCAAGAGAAATTGCAGTCGCCGCGGATAACCCACGGCGCGGGGACAGCGCGGGGAAAGGCCGCGAGCGAGGTCAAGTACCCAGCGCTTACCCCGTCCGCTCGCGTGGCCTTCGGGCCAGGCGCTGGGATATAATGAAAAGCGAAGAGCCCTTCGTGCGTTGGGTGGCTGGAGCGCAGTCGCACATGTCAGTGCCGCGTGGCCACCGATGCGCAGTCGCGCTCGCGGCCACGCCTAGGATAGCTCGCGGCTGCCAAAGATGTTGCCTACAAGTGGCTCTTGGAGATGGCAGCTGCGCGGCCGCGGGCCCCCGCCCGGCCGCGCGCGCCCCCCCCCTCGCCGCCGCGGGGGCTTCTGGGCAGCCCGCCTTCTGCAGGTGCTGTTCCGCCGCGTTGGACAGCCCAGGCCAGGTGCCTTTCCTGCCGCGCGCAGACGCCGTGCATCTGTCGAAATCCGCCTCGCCGCATCCGGCCCACGTCCGCGGGCCCCCCGCGCGGCGACGTCGGCGGAAAGGATGGAGGTCGGTCGGCGTCACCGGCGAGTCGCCTGCCCCCCCCGCTGGGAGCCCCGCGGGGGGAGGGGGTCTCGGAGCCGCCGCTGCCCCTGCCCGCAGTTGCCCGCCTACTTGGCGGCGCCGGCGGCGCCTGCGCCGCTGCCCGCGACGGCCGCTTCCGCAGCAGCAAGCGCTGCTGCCGAAGATGGAGAAGGTGCGAGCGCCTCCGTGTCCCTTGGCTGCTGCTCCTGCTGCGCTGGCGCTGCCTTCCGCGTCCTCCAACGCCTGCGAAGCGGTGGCGCACTTGGCCTCCGCTTCTCTTTCACCTGCCTGAGGCGGTCCTTGAGCTGGAACCTGGACGCGCGCGCTGTCGATTGGAGGTGCTCGAGGACCTGCCGCTCGGCGTTGTCCACCGCCGCGCGGCCTTCCTCGCACATGTCCGTCCGCATCGTACTTGAACTGCGCCTCGACCTCGGCGATCCCGACCTCCGAGGGATGGAGCAAGTCGGCGTCGGTTTTCAGCAGCCGGTCGAAGATGTTGTTTGGCTTCTCCTTCCCTTTTTGCTGGCTGCTCTCGACCTCCGCCTCGGCGAGCAGGACCTCGCCCGCTCGAGTGCAGAGGAGGTTTCGCGCCGTTTCTGCCATGCTATGCGCGGCCTGCATCTCCTCGAACCCACTTGTGTTTTTTTGTTTTGACCTCCAACGTCTTCGCCGCCTCCGCGAGCCCCAAAGCGCGTGAGCTCGGCGTCGACTTGTCGAAGCAAACGCCTGGAGCGCCGCGGCCTCGCACTCAGCTGCTTGTTGGTCATCAGAAGGTTGTTCAGCAAGCTCGTCACCGTCTTTAGGGCCACCGCGATCTACTCGATGCCCGATGCGTGTGAGGAACCCGCCGTCGCTATGCGTGCTCGTGCCGTTGCCTTTGCTCTTGTCGCCCTTGCCTTGTCGCACTTGCTGGCAAGGTTCGGTTGCTGGCAAGGTTCTCCTGCTCGGCATGCGCAGGAACACCAGTAGCCGCGCACCTCCACTTGCGACTACCACCGCCAGTGCTGGCACTGCTTGCGCGTAGCCCACCGTTTCGGTGCCATGCTGCCGTCGTGCTGGCCCAACAGGAGGCGCGCGCTCTCCAACATGAGCTCTCCGTGGGCCTGGCTGCCCCGCCTCCTCCGACGTCAATGCCGGGCTGGCGAACGCGAGCGTTCGGGGCGCCCCGTCTCGGGGCCAGGGGCGATGATGGGAGAGGGGGAGAGAGGACAATAAGGAGGAGAAGCAGCAGCGTAATGATGATACGAGCAATGCAACTAACAACAAGAAGCAACGCAATAATACCGATAAAGAAAATCATAAGCATAAGAAAAATGAAAGGAGCGTTCGGCACTTGTTCACATAATGTCGATCGACTATGCTAGACTGTCAAAAGTTCGGAGCGTGATCAGGAATCGCAGAAACATGTGGCACTTCCCCGAGAAAGAGAGACACACAGGCAGATAGGCAAATAAGTAATAGAACAGTCAGACAAGGGAAAGAGCGGGAACGAGAGAGAGGCCGATCTACACATATAGATATATATACACATACACATAGATTAACGCAGCATGCATACATACGTTAAGCAAGAGAGAGATAGGAAACTACGTAAACACCAACATTGAGATGACGAGACACATGTATGAAGGGATGCATACAACTTGTGTACATGTAGAGGTATACTGTTTAGGGAGGCATCTTACTTGTTCATAATATCCAGCCCCCCCCCCCCGACAACACGCACGCTGGACAACCCCTCCCACATGGAGACTGCAAGCGGTCCAGCATGCAACTGTGGCCAGAGCTCGGGCGAGAGCACCAGTCCAAATTACGGATGTTGCTGGCGCTCGAGCGGCAAAACCATACCCGCGCTGAGGCCAGAGTACCGTTTCCAGTAAGAGATGTGGCCAGCGCGCACGCGGCTGCACCAATCCCAGGCAGGGATTTGGCCAGAGCTCGGGCGAGAACGCCTCGGCGTTGCGTCGCATGGAACCACGGCGCTGTAAGGACGTCCCTGGCGAAAACGACTGGAACGCCTCTATCACGGCATCTCGGAACCCAGAGTTCCAAGGATGCCTCAAGCAAAGCAGGTCTGACCACATCGCGCATGGCGTCTCGGAGCCCTGAGTTCCGAGGGCGTCTACTATGCGAAGCGGCCAGAACACTTCACGAGCCGCATCTTGAACCCAACGCATGGACGTCCCAGGCAAAGCGGGCCAAAACACCTCAAGTCAGGGCATATCGGAACACTGAGTTCTGAGAATGTCTCAAGCGAAGCGGGCCAGCATACCTCGTGAACCGAACCCAGAGCACGTCCGCCGAATAACCCATTTGGAGAATCCTTTGAGGATCCGCACGCACCCCCGGGACAACCCCTTTGGGACAAGGCTCCCCAGGATTGCTCTCATAAGATATCATACAAATCTGGAAGAAAGAAAAGGAAACAAAAACAGAGTCAGAGAAAGAGGATGATAATGGAAGAGAGAGGGAGAGAAAGAACAACTGACAACGACGGATGAGAGAGGGATAACGGAAATTAATGTGATACGAGATGAGAGAAGCCAAACAATTCGGCAACATACTCCAAATATCGGCATCGGTCGAGCAATGGAAACCGTGAAGAAAACGGAACACGTGCCATTTGCCACACTCATCCACAATAGCTTGTAGCCACACGGTGCCGTTGAGGTCATAATGCTTGCGCAGTGCCCATTGTTGGTTGCCGAAGGTGGTGGAAATTGTGCGGAAATTCTGAGATGTCAGCGTCCCATGTGTTCGACTGACCGGTTTGCGCAGTGCGGAGGCTCGGATGCCCCTGAATAACAAGTTGGGGCCAGCACTGTAATAGTTTGTTTGTGTGTAATCCTGACTGCACATCTCCACACCATGGTGTCGCTGCTTTGCCGCCTAGGAGGGAGGGGGAGGATGAGAATGATGATGACGACGATGAGGATGACGATACTGATGATGATGCTGACAATGACGTTGCTGCGTATGCTGATGCTGGTGATCATTGTAATGATGACGATGATGATGATGATGATGATGCTGATGATGATGATGATGATGCTGATGATGATGACGATGGTTGTGCTGCTGGTGCTGATGCTTGTATTGCTGATGCTGATGATGGTTGAGATGATGATGATGATGATGCTGCTGATGCTGATGCTGATGATGATGCTACTGATGATGATGCGCACGACAGACGAGGAGTTCCTCGGTTGCCACTATACCTCAAGACAAGCCCGAGAATATGTTCTCTCTTTACACCGCTGGTAGCGCAAAAACCTCCTGCCACATTACCAAGGATGATGGAGTCACGCGTCCCCGCCCGATTTAAACGGCAGGTCCAGCCCGACTCGTCCCAGCGGTGTCCAGGCCCCTTTTCTGGAGAAGATTTCAGAAGACGTGATGAACTCAGGCACCCAAACGCGCCTGTGCGACATGACCCCGTCGTGGCCTTGCTCGTTTGCCGCTCTGGCTGCCCCCCAGTCCGGCAGTCGTTGAAATCGTCGGTGCAAGTCTGTTTGTGTGCGTGTCGCTGGAGGGGGGAGCAGGATGAGGAGCAGGAAGAGGTCCTGGTCGCCATCTGCCTGGTGCTCCTCCTCCTCCTGATGCCTTCTCCTCGTCCTCCTTCTCCTAATCTTCCTTTCCTGTCCTTGCCTTTCCCTTCCGTTGTCCGTTCCTCCTCCTCCTCCTCCTCGTGCTCTTCTTCCTCGTCCTCGTCCTCCTCGTCCTCCTCCTCCTCCTTGTCATCCTCTTCTTCCTCCCCGGGAGGAGGTGGAGAAGGGCGGGGCGCGTGGAGAGCGGCAGGCCCCAGCGGCGGCCAGCGGCCTCAAGAGGAGGGAAGGGAGGAGGAGGGGGGAGGAAAGAGGGAGGGGGGAGGAGGGAGGAGGGAGGAGGGAGGAAGGGGGAGGCGGGAGGAGGAGGAGGAGTAGAAGGAGGAGGAGGAGGAGGAGAAGGAGGAGGAGAAGGGAGGGAGAAGCGAGAGGGAGGGGGGGAGGGAGGAGGGAGGAGGGAGGGGAGAGGAGGGAGGAGCAGGGAGCATGGAGCAGCAGGGAGGAGGGAGCAGGGAGGAGGGAGGGGGAGGAGGGGAGGGAGGAGGGAGAAGGAGGAGGGAGGAGGAGGAGGAGGGAGGAGGAGGAGGAGGGGAGGAGGAGGAGGAGGAGGAGGGAGGAGGAGGAGGGAGGAAGAGGAGGAGGAGGAGGAGGAGGAGGAGGAGGAGGAGGAGGAGGAGGGAGGAGGGAGGAGGGAAGCCGAAAAGAGCCGCGACGAGACGCGGCGCCTCTGTTCGTGACGAGCCGCTCCCCGCGCCGGCCGGGGACTGCGGAGAGCACGACGTGGCGCGCGCGGGCATCACCAGCGCGGGCAAGCCTCCCACTGTCTCGGGCTGGGGTTCCTTCGTCCTCCTCCTGCGTCCTCCTCCTCGTCATCCGCGGCTGCGCGGGTGCACGCGCGTCGGCACGTCCACTCACATAGCAGTACACAGAGCTGCGGCCGAAAAAGGCTGGGACAGCGCCGAAAAGAGAAGAGTCGAGAGAAGGGAAGGCACGAAGGAAACAGCGATACGTTTCGCCCTCGAAGCCGTGTCCAGCCCCCCCGCCGCCCCCCGCAGCCTCCAGTTGCGCCTCACCAGAGCGGGCATTCCCACGCCCTGGGAGGGGAGGGAGATGGAAGAGGGGTGAGATCAGGAGAACCATTCCATGAGCATCAAGAGGCCCTCAACAGCTAGAGAAGCCCAGAAGGTCCCTAAGAACGCACACGCACCACACACGACCACACAGCCAATTACGCGAAGCATCCCTACAGCTTCGCTATGTAGGGGGTTGGAGGGTGGTGGCGAAAAAGATCGTCGGGCGCGGGTGTCAAGCCTCCCTGCGCGATATGGAAAAACCGCTCCCCTGAACGGGCCTCATAGTTTGCCACCTTAATTCCACCCGCCGTCCATCCCACACCCTTCAAGCAGCGCTGCTAGCTGCGGACAAAAATTAGCGCAAGCTGACGAAAGCGAGCCTGCTCCTGCATTCTGTTGCAGGGGAGGGGAGGGACTGGAGACCCTCACACCAGCTAGATCTTCGCTGTCTGGGGTGTTGGTGGGTGGCTTGTGGCAATGGCGTGGCGCAGAGGTCCAGCCTCTCTGCGCGCTGTGGGGGGCCATTGTCCTCCTCTTCCTCCTCCTCCTCCTGCTCCTCCTCCTCCTCCTCCTCATCATCCATCCTCCTCCTCCTCCTCTTCCTTCGCCCTCCTCATCCTCCTCCTCATCCTCCTCCGCCCTCCTCCTCCTCCTCCTCCTCCTCCTCCTCCTCCTCCCCCTCCTGTCTGTTCTGTTCCCTCCTCTCCAAGTCCTCCCAGCTCTTTTCCGACTAGGGGGTATAATGAGGAGGACGACCACGATGCAGATGAGAAACAAGAGGAAGACTGCTCGGCCTTGCGCTACATGGTTGATGCATCATGTCTGTCCAATATGCTGCATGATGCAACACCCGAACATCCTCCGACAAATCGTGACACGCGGTCGCATCGATCGAGGTCTGGGAACACGCACTGGACAACACCTGATCCCTGACGAGTCTGGGGACGGGTCGCAACAGGCATAATTATGTATGGGCTAGGGGTGGTTCCCCGCGGGTCCCTATGAGACCGTCGCCTTCAGTGCTGCTTGCACCAGGCAGCCCCCCCCCCCAAAAAAAAACACCACATCCCTCAGAAATGAATACCAAGCCCCAGAAGCACAGGCACCGACGGACGAAGGGGAACGACGGGGCGAGAGAGGCGACATAAGAGGACGAAGGCGAATGCGGAAGCGGGACGGGAGCATTGTAAGAGTAGAGCAAGCCGTATCGGAGGGATGAGGCGATCCTCGTTCCCCTCCTCTTCCTCCTCCTCATCCTCCGCCTCCTCATCTATCTCATTCCCCATACACTGGAAACCTGCCACCTGGGTGCAAGGCAAATCTGCTATGCCCTTGGGCGAGTGTGTTGGGGCAAGTTCAGTGGCGCAGGCCCGCAAGTGGCTCAACATATGGATGACTTCCGCGGATGAGTGCTTACAGCACGGTCTCTCCATGTCTCAGCCTCCTCCGATCACCCGGGTGTCTCGCTCGATCTGTGCGCCAACCGAATAACTCCCTTCGTATCGGAAAGGAAGACGGGAAGGAGAGACAGGGCCGCTTTCGTATCGGGGAGGAGGGGGAGGTGGAGAGGGAGAGGGAGGAGAAGGAGGAGGAGGAAAAGGAGGGACAGGAGGAGGAGGAGGAGGAGGAGGAGGAGGAGGAGGAGTCGGGGGAGGAGGAGGCGGAGGAGGTGTTTGATGACGTTTTATCGCACCCGATTGCAAGGCTCCATGTCAGAGGCAACAAGCGGGCGTCAGGGGGACGTTGGATCTTCTTGGAATAAGGAGGAGACAAGGAGAAGGCAGGAGGAGGGGACAGGGAGGCAGCCGGGCGAAGGGGAGAAAGTACGAAGAGGGGGGGGAGAAGGACGACGACGACAGAACCTGACGGACTGCCCGCTCAACCCAGAGTGTGACAGGCACGTGTCGTAAGCACATCTCCAGATGTCTAGCGTGATTGCATCCGGTCGTCCGAAGTACCCAGAGAGCCGCTGGGGTCAACATTTGAGCGAATCTGGGGGCGAAAAAGCCATACAGACCGATACCGAAGCTACCGATCCCCTCCTCGGTCCTCGATCATCGAGTTAAGAGGTGGAGGAGGACGACGATAACGACGAGAGGCGCTTGGGGTGGGATCTTGGGAGTCTTGGGCTCCCCCTCCTCCTCCTCCTCCTCCTCCTCCTCCTCCTCCTCCTCCGCCTCCTCCTCCTCCTCCTCCTCCTCTCCCTCCTTCCCTTCCCAGAAGAGGGGATGGGGGCGGACGGAAAGCGTCGGTATCAGTATGGTTTCCTCCTCCGAAGACCCGGATTTCGAGCAGTTCTGGCCAGACGCCTCGGGCCCTCTGGGCATGGAGGGATGGTCACGCCAAATATCTCAAGAACGAACCTCCCTCCTCAAGACATCTTGCCCAAGATGGCCCAGGAGGGTCCCGAATGAGCGCATGATCAACCACCGTGCCGCGAGGCAATGAGTGGGTGTGTCTGGAGCCCCCTTCGATTTCTCTACATAATGGAAATCGTAAACACCCTTCTAGGGCCCCGACCGCCAAGTTCTGGGCGTTCCCGAACGAGCCCGGGACTTCTCGCATGACTTTTCCAGAGACCCTGGGGACGTGTCTCAGGCTTCAACCAGCCAACATTATCTGAGATGATCCCGAGGGGTCGTCCTGGGGCTGTCCGGGGGTCTCTTGGGCCAACTTGGAGACCCAGGAGGAGGAGGAGGAGGAGGAGGAGGGGGAGGAGGAGAAGGAATGAGAAGGGAAGAGGAGGAGGAGGAGGAGAAGGAGGAGGAGGAGGAGGAGGAGAAGAAGAAGCAGGAGGAGGAGGGAGGAGGGAGGAGGAGGGAGGAGGAGCAGGAGGAGGAGGAGGAGCAGCAGCAGGAGGAGGCGGAGGAGGAGGGGCAGGCCTTCAGGAAAGCGCGCAAGACGATCCAGGAGGCCCCGACCATCGTCCCAAGACGGCCCCCGAGCCTACAAAAGAGCGGCCCACGATGCTCCCAAGAGAGGCCACTCGGAATGACACATCGAGCCCCTGCACTCCAAGAAGCCTCGAGACCACCAGCAGGCCCCCACGAGACGCCGCAGTGACCCCAACTAGCTTCCAACATGCTTCCAAAAGGCCCTCGAGAGCCTCCCTAAAGGGATCCATAAAGGCCCTCGAGAGGCCTTCAGGATACCCCACACGTCTGGCACGAGACCTCTGGCCAACGATCCGGGCACGGTGGAACCAATTTGCCTCGAATATAGCGCATGATAGCCATATTTGAACGGTGATGGCGTCACGCACGGTTCCAAGCTGCATTAAACATGTACGCCCCTTGATGACTCTGACATGCCTCAAAGTCTTCCAAGGACGTCCCCGATAGGCGAAAAAAGGTTAACCACATATCCACACCCTAGAGGAACAATCTCCCAGGACAGCGGGGAGCTTGTTGGGCCCCAGGGTTCATGCGGGAGCCCGGATTAGACAGAGAATCGGTGAGGTTCCTAGAGAATCTGCGAGGTCAAGACGTGATCACTCGGGAAGTTTGAAATGACATGGAACGACCTAATGGTCTTATACATTTCAGGCATTCCTACTGTTGCCCTGGTGGTTTTATACTTCCGCGCGAAACCGAACGTTCCGCAAACATTGCCAAGCCGCCAGGAAGTGTCTGCAGGTGGAAGAAGGAGAGGCGAAATGATTCCACGAGTTCCAATCTTTCTGCAAAAAGAACATACTTTTCGGGGGTTCCTCTGTGTTATTGGAGTTGCGTCTTGAAGTTGTAAAGGAAGAACGCTTCGGAGGATGACGCATGTAAGGAGGATGGCAGTGGATGGACGAGGCACCCAGACCTCCGATCATAGTTTGATGTGTCTCGTGGCATGGGCCCCGAATCGCCCGACTCGATCCCCAAGGCTTGCTTTCCACAACAGTGCGTTGTTGCTTCGGGCCACGGGTCTCGACAGCGGACCCACCAGCACCGAAACCAGTCAAAGGAAAGCCGCGACCGCGACCCCGAGGCGCGAAATGGAGTGCCCCCAAGTCACTTGCTCAATTCACTGAGCCTCAGTCCTCAATGCGGAGGATTATTTGAGGGGCCCAGACCCAAAATTCACAAGTCTGCCAGGGGCTTTCCGCTCCTGGGGTCACCCGCATCGTGTCGCATGACCCTTGCGGAGCCAGCAGTCCCAAGAAGGGCCAAGGGAGCCCCAAGAGGCCCCAAAGATGATCCAAGAGGGCCCCAATGACGCCCAGGAGGCCGCCAAGACGCCCCAAGTGAGCTCCAAGAGGCGTCCCAGGAGGGCCTCCGACGCTCCAAGACGGCCAAAGGAGCCCCCAAGACCGCCCCAAGACGGCCCAAGAGTCCCCCGAGAGGACCCTAAGACGGCTCCAAGACGGCCCAAGAGGCTCCCAAGACGGCCCCAGAGGACCCCAACCAAAACGGCCCCAAGAGGGGCATCCAAGGGAGAACACGAGCCGAAACTCCGAGCCTTCCCCTCCAAGAAGCACCCAGGAGGCCCTAAGACTCTAAGAGGCCCCCTGGGATTCCCCAAGGGGCATCCAAGAGGCTCAAAAAAAGCCACAAGAGGCATCAAAACTGCATCCAGGAGGTCCCCGAGGGGCCTCGACGAGATCCCCCAAAACATCAGAGAGGACTCAGACCCACACCCCAGGCACGGTGGCGGGATGGGCCGGAAGCCAGTAGGGAAAGAGTCATGTCTTTGTGTGGCGCTGGTATTTTGACGGGGGAAGGTCATCAACTTCCCTTCTGCCCCCCACCCCTCGAGGGCGGCCTAAGCGACGAGACGGCCTCGCACAATCGCATTCTCCCACAAAGGACCCACCAAAGGGAGGATGTGGGAGGGAGGGGACGGAATGAAGATGAGGGAGCAGGCAAGAGGGAGGAGAAAGGAGGGATGGGTGCAGCAGAGAGGAGGGATGACGAGGACAAGGAGAAGGAGGAAGAGTTCGAGGAGAAAGAGAGAAGGACAAGCACGAGGAGGAGGAGGAGGAGGAACATCATGAAAAATAAGAGGAGCAGAGCAGGATGACAAGCACAAGGAGGAGGGTGAGGCGAACGCGGGTTTGCAGGAGGGCATGGGGAGTGGATTTGATAATGGCGCAGCCGCCCTCGCGATGACCCACAGTTTCAGGCACAATGTCATGAGCCCGACTGCCTGACCGGGTTCACCCGCCCTGTGCGCGCCCGGGATCTCCAACACGCAAGCGCCGCAAACAAAGAAATGCGACGCGATGCGCAACTGTGTATGCCTCGGTCGGTCTCAGGAGCAAGCTCCTTCGGGCCCTGCGCAAGGAGTAACCCTAGTTTCCTCGCCGGCGAGGGGCGGGCAGACCTTCCCTGGCGCCAAAGGCTTGCCGTCGCTCGGACGTCCATTTCCCGTGCATTGTTCGGTTTCGTGCGTGTTTTTCGTGCTCGATGGTCCAGGATGTCTCCTCGAGGGTTCTCGCCGAGAAAAAATGCACACGTCCGAGTGATGCCAAGAAGGGCGCACAAGGCCGCGCCAACGCGCCCTCTCTAGATCCCCACCGCCCCCCCGAACGCGAGCCCCAAGGAAACCCCGGGAAGGGTCAACCCTTCCCAGCACTCCCTCCCCTGCCCAGCAGCGTGGAGATTTTCCCGATCAGATCTCCGCAAGCCAGGGATGCCCGAGCCTTCTGCCAGCACCACCGCCGTCCCATGGACAGCCTCGCATCAATCTCGAACTGTTAGGGCTGCTCTGCCTGGGGGTTGCAATCCGAAGTGGCCTCCACGTGTGTGATCCTTTCCTGCAGGCTTGCCTTCACGCCCTCGAAGCCCATGGGCCTGCACGCGCCAGCATCGGCGCCCACGGGGGTATGGAAGACTTTGTGCACTCGATGCACTTCATGAACACAACCTTGTCCGCGCCCTTGCGGTCGTCCAAGCCTTAGGTCGGGCATGTCCTCCTACACGCGGATGTTTGAAGAACGCTGAAAGATAAACCAACAAATCAGTAATTGCCAAAAGAGCGAAAAAATCGTCACAAGTCTATTCTTACTATTCTTGAATATTCCTCCTGAGAAACATGCCCGACTGAGTCCAAGCCCGTGTCGAAAAACACCTTCGGGCCGGCACTACCCAAACCCACGCTGGTGTTACCGCTGTTGTGGAACACTCTTGACTACGTCCCTGGCAGGAAGCCAGACATCTCCCCGGTATCCTGCTATGCGCAGGACCCCGTGAGCCCAGGTAGTTTGGCCACAGGTGGCCCAGCCTGCACCCGCGATGGCAGCCTGAACCGATTCGCCCTCGGCAGGTGCGTCCGTAGCCTGCCGCCGCTGCGCAGCGAAAGCGAACACCAAGTAGTCCCAGACATAACCACGCTGCTTGCGCCACGTTCCTTCGTGAGCTCCTGCTTGTTCGCCAGCACCTCGTGGTCGCTGTAGCTCTGCTGGTCCAACTTCCCAGTCGACACCACCACAGGCCCACGCACGTACTCCAGGTCGGTGTCTTTCGGTCCCTGGCAGTCGCTAATCACGTCATCGCAACTGCGGTCTTGGATGGCGCTGGCGCAGCTGTCAGCCACGGAAGAGCCGACCGAATCGCCGACGCATCTACAGCAGCGGTTGCTTGCCCTCTCCATCGAATACTCCCATGACCTATCAAAACTGAGACGAAGCCAACATCGGAACATCATCGGATCGGGATAAATAGGACCTCTGAGATCCCGCGGTTCTGGATATTGTATCCGGCGCCGCGGCTGTCTAAGAGCGTTCTGAGGCGTTCTGGAACACTTTGGCGCGATGTGTCACAATTCTGGGCCTACGTACCTGACCAACTCCGGTGCCACCGGCTGCGACCTCCCGATCCGGAGAGATGGTGGCTGACTCCTCGCCGAGCCCGTCCACGAGAAGACGACAGCGGGTGCCCGACTCATCGCTGAGACTTCGCCTCGTGGAGGCGGAGGTGGAACATCCAGCTGGGCCCCGTCCCGCCGTCATTGACCGCGCCACATTCAGCGCACCGATCACGCCATGGATCGGGACAGCTGCGCCCCCTCCAGGTACGCTGCCGCCAGGGTCTCGAGACCTGCAAGGGGCGGAGGATGGGGAGGGAGGAGGTAGCGAGCGTAACAGCAGCCGAGAGACAGCTGGGCAGAGCGCCCGCTCAAGCGGGACATGGGGGTTCGCAACCACTCCGACCCGAGGAGCCAGCCCCCTGGAGCGCGGGCAGCCGTCCGCTCTGCAAAACTTCGGCTCCAGGACATACTGTTCTGTGTTTCGGGGCAGCAGCCGTCACCAGCCCCGGCTGCCCCCCCCCCCTCCCCCGAGGTAGCGGCACGATTCGTGCTGATCTCCAGAATGCCTTTGGTGATTCTTAGAGCCATTCTCAGCCTGCGCCAGCGCGAGACGTGACGTTACCGCCTCTAAAACAAGGCTAGGATCGGGATAAATCGCTCCAGAGCGTTCCGAAGCGCTCTCAGAGCGTTCCGGAACGCTCTGGAGCGGCCGCGGCGCCCAATACATCCTCCAAACCCGCCGATTCTCAGAGATTTCGAGTTATCCCGATCCGATTTTGTCCCCCGATCTTCGCGTCGTTTTAGCCTCCCCCCCTGGTAACGCCCGCTGTCGCTCGGGAATCGAAACAACCTCCAAGAGGGGCAGCTGCAAAGCTGCAAGCATCCAGCGGCGGCGGGCGCCTCCGCGCAGGGAGCGAAGGAGGAGGAGGGAGGAGGAGGAGGAGGAGGAGGAGGAGGAGAGGAGGAGGAGGAGGAGGAGAGGAGGGGAGGAGGAAAGGAGGAGGAGGAGAGGAGGAGGAGGAGAGGAGGAGGAGGAGGAGGAGGAGGAGGAGGAGGAGGGGAGGAGGAGGAGGAGGAGGAGGAGGAGGAGGAGGATGAGGGAAGCGGGAGGATGAGGGAGGGTGTGCGAAGAGAAGGCTCGCATGCCAGACAAAGTGTCCTCCTGCCTGGGACACTCCCGTCCCCGCTGTCCTTCAGAGGCAGCAACCCGAGGGCTCGCCGCCATGATCGCCATGCCAATCCCACGTCGCGGGGAATAGCGCAGAGTGCAATCTGAGAAGAAGGACGGTGTCGAGACGAGATGTCTAACACATGAGATTTCCACGTGCTACTATGAACCAAGACTGGCCAAACGCACACTTCTTTCTTCACTCCGCCCGATGCAAAACCGATCCGCGGATACGATTGAACGGATGACCCGGGAGCGTCGTCTCGAACACTCCGGAAAGACCTCAGGCATGAGTGCACAGGACACAACGGAAGCGGAACAAACCAAAGCACTGGCGCACGACCAGCCGTGGAATGGCCTGGGCTTGGAGGGTGGAACTGCAGAGGCGCGCGCTGGGAACCCACGCCCCAGGACGTGCGGCGGCGCGATCCCTTCGCACCCCGGGGCCCTGGACCTCTCGACCCCTCCGCCGGGGGCATGTGCTTCGCCCCGGGCCGCTCTGACGACTGCACGAGGGGACGGGGGCCCGGGAGCAGGGCGGGAGGGACGGGAAGGAGGCGAAGCGAAGCGCAGCGAAGCGAAGCGAAGCGAAGCGCGCAAGTCCGCCGGAGCGGGACCCTCGAGGGTCGGCGCGGGCGGGCCGGGGCCCTTACACCGTGGTGCCGGAGATGTTCGTACAGAAGCCGTCGCATGCGCGGACGGGAGGGAGGGAGAGAGGCGAAGGACACGCCTCCCGAAGGCGCCGTCCGGAGCACTTTCGCCCCAGCCCTCCGCTCAGGACTGGGTCTTCGCTCCCCCTCTCCGCTGCGCCGCGCGTCCACCGTGCTTAGGTCGGGCATGTCCCCCTACGGGGGGATTTTGGGTGAAAAATTAAAGGTACTCAAAAAATACACCCCAAATAGACAAAAATAGGAGGAAAACAAAAAATCGTCCCCAGACTATTTTTTATTTGTTTTGAATATTCCTCCTGTAGAGGGGCAGGCCCGATTTAACACTATGCGAACACGCAGAAACCAGTGAATGTCCTCAGGTTCTTCAGTGCTCGTGGCCTCTCGAGGGCTTCATTGGAGATCTCTCGGGCGGTTTTGGGAGCCTCTTGAAGGCCTCTTGCCACTCTCTTGGGCGCTCGTGGCAGTCGGGTGCCTGTCGCAGGCCGTGTCAGAGCCCAACTGGGCTGTCTCGGAGGCGTCTTGGGTCGTCCCGAGGCCCCCCTGGGGAAGCCCAGGAGGGCGGCACCGGGATTTGCCCGAGATGTCATCGAGGCGTGGGTAGGAGCCCTGGGGGTGGTGTGTAGACATCCGTAGAGTATACACACACACATATAGCCGGCCCCCTTGCGGGGCCACCAGGCTGCGAGGGTGAGGATTGCAGCTCCCTGTTCCAGTTGCAGTTTCCAGTCTCGACTGTTACAGTCCTGTTTTCTGCTTCCTTACTGGTAATTGTTGCTGAACGCGCGAGGGGAAGAGCCGAAAAGCGTCCTGGTTAGCGTCCCCGAATCGTGTTGTCTGAATTCCTGGGCGGTCGTGCGATAATCGTGTCCCCGAGGCCATAATCCTTGGTACATTTCGCCATATACGCATCCCCGAGGCCATACACCTTCGTAAATTTGATAATAGTCGCGTCCCCGAAGCCGTAATCTTTTGTCAGTTACACCTAATCGCGCCCCCGAAGCCATAAACTCTGTGTAAATTCTGCAATCTTCGCGTTCCCGAAGCCATAAACGATCGTAACATACTTCATATTCGCGCACCCAGTGCCCTAATCCTTCGCAGCGTACACAATATTCGCATCCCCGAAAACATTAACCCTCGTAATTGACGCGCCCCCGAAGCCATGAACACTTGCAAATTACAAAATACTCGCGCTCCCGAAGCCATAAACCTGTGAAACGTATACCAGATTTCCGTCCCCAGGGCCATAAACCTTTGTAAAGTACATACACGACCACCCTTCGGGTGATAAGGAGGTTGTGGCGGGGGGAGAGGGGGGGGGGACCAACATTTGACTCAATCGGTCTCGCGATCTCACGATCGATTTCACTATCGATCTCACTCAACGGGACACCACGGGACACCACGGGCCACCATAGGGCCACCTCGGGACACCGCGGGACACCTCTCGATCTCACTATCGGTCTCACTATCGATCTCACTCAACGGGACACCGCGGGACACCACGGGACACCAGGGGACACCTCGGGACACCACATCGATCTCACTATCGATCTCACTCAACGAGACACCACGGGACACCACGGGCCACCGCGGGACACCTCTCGATCTCACTATCGATCTCACTATCGATCTCACTTTTGGGGACACCATGGGACACCACGGGACACCTCGGGACACCACATCGACCTCAGTATCGATCTCACTATCGATCTCACGATCGATCTCACTCAACGGGACACCATGGGACACCACGGGACACCTGTCGATCTCACTATCGATCTCACTTTTTGGGACACCACGGGACACCTCGGGGCACCACATCGATCTCAATATCGATCTCACTATCGATCTCACTATCGATCTCACCATCGATCTCACGCAACGGGACACCACGGGACACCACGGGACACCGCGGGACACCGCGAGCCACCGCCGGACGGACGGACGGACGGGGGAGGCTCATTTGTCTTGTCTTCGCCCTAGCAACGGCGGACACCACGGGACACCGCGGGACACCGCGGGACACCACAAGGGACACCGCCGGACGGACGGACGGACAGAGGATAATCATTTGTCTTGTCTTCGCCCTAGCAACGGCGGACACCACGGGACACCACGGGACACCGCGGGACACCGCGAGCCACCGCCGGACGGACGGACGGACGGGGGAGGCTCATTTGTCTTGACTTCGCCCTAGCAACGGCGGACACCACGTGACACCACGGGACACCGCGGGACACCGCGAGCCACCGCCGGACGGAAGGACGGACGGGGAAGAATCATCTGTCTTGACTTCGCCCTAGCAACGGCGGACACCACGGGACACCACGGGACACCACGGGCCACCGCTGGACACCGCTAGGGCCACCGCAGGACGGACGGACGGACGGGGGAGAATCATTTGTCTTGACTTCGCCCTAGCAACGGCGGACACCACGGGACACCACGGGACACCGCGGGACACCGCGGGACACCGCAAGGGCCACCGCCAGACGGACGGACGGACGGGGGAGAATCATTTGTCTTGACTTCGCCCTAGCAATGGCGGGCTCATTCCTCTCGCGCGCCCACGCAGCTTCGCCTCGCCCGCACGCACGACACGAACGAAAAGAAACGATTTCCCGGTTGGGGGTCTCCGTTCCACTGCGATCTCCCCCCCCAACCTCCGATACCATGCTCTCGTCCCCGAAGCCATAAAACCTCGTTACGTACACAAGATTGGCGTCCCCGAGGCCGTACATCTTCGTAAATCATGCAAGGGCCGCGTCCCCTAAGCCGCAATCCAAACTATATTACACCATATTCGCGTCCTCGAGTCCATAAGCCCTCGTATATTACGGCATGCTCGCGTGATCTTGAATAAATGATACAATATTCGCGTCCCCGAAGCCATATACCCTCGTAAACTACGCAATCTTCGCGCACCCGACACCATCAACCCATGAAAATTACATCATATTCGCGCTCACGAAGCCGTAAACTTATGACAAGTATATAAGATTCGCGTGCCCAGGGCCATAAACCGTCGTAAGGTACACAATGATTGCGTCCCTGAGGCCACAACCCCTTGTAAATTACACAATATTCGCGCCCCCGAAGCCATAAACCATGGTAAATTACATAATAATCGCGCCGCCCCAGCCATAAACCCGCGTAAATCAATGTTTGCCCTCGCGTGAAGTCCCGACATTGCTTCGCGTCAGCGTCCAGACATCCCAAAACAGCCCTGGCAAGTTCCATTCTAAAAGAGGGGGCCGGCGGCATCGGGGCGAAGCCCTTACGGATATATGCACATCAGGAGACTCGGCGGCCCATCGGACGATGCCACAGATGGGCTCCTCCTCCTCCTCCTCCTCCTTCTCCTTCACCTCCTCCTCCTCCTCCTCCTCTTCATCAGTATCATCATCATCAGCAGCATCAGCATCAGCATCAGCAACAGCATCATCAGCATCATTATCCGAACCATCATCACCATCATCATAATAAGCATCATCATCATCATCATCATCATCATCAGCATCAGCATCAACATCAGCATCATCATCATCATCGTCCGCATCAGCATCATCAGAATCGTCATCACCATCATCCTTTGGGGAGAAGCGAGACATGAGAAGGGGACGGAACAAGGGAAGAGCAGGATGGGGGGCGAAAAAGGACCAGGGCGAGGACGCAGGGAGGACAACCAGAGCGACGACGAGGATGACACAATGTATCATCTATCACGTAGATGATGATGATGATGATGATGATGATGATGATGATGATGATGATGATGATGATGGTGGTGATGGTGGTGATGATGATGATGATGATGATGATGATGATCATGATCATGATCATGATGATGATGATGATGATGATGATGATCATGAGGATCATGATGATGATGCTGATGATGATGATGGTGATGATGGTGATGATGATGAACAAGACGAAGACCATCCACGAGGCAAAAATCGTCCCTGTCCACGGTCAAAATGTGCTACCTTTTATAACTATATGGCATGATTCCAGCCGTCCGCGCCGCTGTGGACCTTGTTCCTGGTGGTTTCCTTTTCCTACAAGCCTTAAATAGTTTCCAGCTCCCATGGCCGTGTACGCTGCCTTTCTTGCTTGCCCGCGGCCTACTGCGGGCCACCAGTCGACTAAAGAGCGCTGAAGGAGCGCGCTCGCTCGCTCGCCCCCTTGTGCTGATGTCGCTCCCCCGTATCCTTGCCAGAGCGCTGCGGGCTCCACGAGCCGATGGCTGGTGTGGCGGCTGGACCTGGCGAGCGCCGATGGTTAGAAGGGGTCTGACTCTGCGCCGCGTTCACCGTCAGTTTGGGCAGCCCAGGCGTAAGTCCGCGATTCGTGAGTTTCCGCGGACCGCGTCTGAGAGTCTGGCGAGTTCAAGCGTGCGAGTTCAAAGGTCCACATGCGAGTCCAAGGTCAGACGGTACAAGTGCTGTTTCGGCTCCGGGAGCGCTGCCAGGGCTGGCCGCGCCCCCTTGCTACTCCTAAGGCCGCGACTCCGCTGGACTGCCGTAGACTTCCTGCGAGGCACCTTGCGGGCTTGCACGTGCCTGTTACATAGCATGGAACCATCGTAATCAAGATCATCAGAAGCATGGCACAGCCAGGCAAGCCCAGCTGGAATGGGCGCTTCTCTTGGCTGGCTGCCCTCCTGCCCGTTCCCCCTCGTGGCCTAAGAGGCACAATTTTGACAGGCAGGCCGTGCATCGGATAAGTCCGCTGGGGATTAGTTTCCCAGTCCTTCCCCCCTCAGCGTGCCTGGCGCCAAGCAGGTGCAGCAGAAAGTCATGGGACGGCGGGTGATGGGTTGTCAGAATTGGGGTTGGTTGGGCTCATACTTAACGATAGCTTTACGGCTAACTGCACTGCACTGGCACGGCAAAGTAGGCCGTACGAATGAAGAGGGGAAGTGGAAAGGCTTGGCATGTGCCCCCCAATGCCTACGCTGAGTGTCTTCTCTCACCGTCCTACAGCTCTTGCTGACATTGGCACGTAAGGGCAGCCGCGCAAGTGATCGCCTTCGCTAGCTTGTCCTGCCACGGCATGCCGTGCAAGAAAGTCCAAACCTGCAGGTTGGCGTCTAGGGTCGGCTGAAGCTGGTAACTTGGTAGGGGATGGGATTGACGGGGGAGGCGGATTGGAACCCAAGGCGGGCCCAGTCGAAGAACTGATA